AACAACACAAAGAATCAATGAATCAAAGAGTTGATTCTTTGAAAGATTAAATCAAATAACAAACCCTGATTCAACCTTATTCAAAAAAGGAAAGAAAAGACTCAAATCCACACAATGAAGAATGAAAATGGTCCACAGAAGAAACCACAATGGTCCCTGCAGAAATCCAGAAAATCATCTATACCTACTTTGAAATTTGGATTCTAATAAGATGCGGAAGAAATGGACAGATTTCTAGATACATATGAATTACTAAAGCTGAATTAAGAATATATAGAAACTGATGCAAAACCATATAAATGTTTGAATTAGTAAAGAAAGAATAGTCATTATAATTGTATTTCATATTTTCAAAAGCTAAAAGATATATAATACTAAAAATAGAAAGTTGGAAAAAAAATAAGTTAATAGCAGAGTAGACATTCCAGAAGAGATTAGTGAGTTCAAAGGCATCACAATACAAACCATCTAAAATGTGAGAAAGAAGAATCCAAAAATGATGAAAAGGAAGTCAGCTGTCTATATGACTACTTTAGTGGGAAGTGATTATCTTGAAGTGGAAGACAGTAAACTATTCAAAGAAATATGGCAAAACTTTACAAGTTTAATGAAATTAAACAATTCATACATCCAAGAAGTTTATCAAATTCCAATATATGAAATGTAAAGAATAATACACCAATCACCTTGTAGTCAAAACTTTCAAGATTAATAATAAAGAGAAAATCTTAAAAGTATCAAGATAACAAAGATATGTTACATATCATGGAACAAAATAAGAATGACAGTAGAATTTTTCACTGGAAACAATGAGAGCATAGATAACAATAACGTTAAATATGAAAAGAAGAAAATATATCTACCAAGAATTTTATACCCAGAGCAAATGTCTTTCAAAAATAAAGATGAGGAGACTAAGAGAGAAGGATCTCCAGTTCAAAGCCAGCCTGAACTGCATAGGGAGGTCCTATAATAAATAAATCAATAAATAAATAAATAAATAGACAGATAAAATCTACAGAAGTCTGCAAGTGGTTAATACTTGGGTAAATGTATATTGTTTTTTCTTAATATTTAATTCTCTTTCAAAGGTAATTAATCAAAGATATACTAATGATGTATTTTGAGTTCTATTACATATGTGGAATTAAAATTCGTGATAACTAGAAAGATCTAAGGGGCCAAATGGAAGTTTATTATCTTGAGGCTCTTGTACTCCATGTGAACTGGCATAACTCAATAATGGTAAGTAAAAGATGCATATGATAAACTCTAAAGAAACTAATAAAATAAAAAAGAGAAATAGCAAATAAGTTTACAAAGTGATTAAAATGAAGTTTTAAAAATATTTGATTAATCCAAGGAAAGGCAGAAAAAGAGGAAGAGGGAAAAGAACAGAGGAGATAAAAAGATGATAACTTCAAACATAATTATATCAATAATATAAAATGTAATATCAATAATATAAAATATTACATTTTATATTATTGATATAATTCCATCTCAAGAAGAAATGGTATAAACGTCCAAATTAAAAGACAAAGATTGCATGTTGGATAAGAAATTGAGAATTAGTTTTATTGCTGCTTACAAGGAACACACTTTAAACACAAAGACAGAAACAGATTAAAAGTAGAAGAATGAAAAAGCTTTACTATGCTAACATTGGTTAAAAGAATCCTGCAATGTTGACGTTAACATTATATGATGTATAATTTGAGCACAGAACATTAATAGGGGTAAAAAAAATCATTTGAAAATGTTAAAGGGGCTAATAGAGAAGGCATAAGAATCCTAAACATTTGCATCCCCAAATCAGGTATCATAATAAGGTGAAACAAAAACAGGTAGAACGACAAAGTGAAATAGACAATGTCACAATTACCATCAGAGATTTTAATATTCTTATCTGCTAGCAAGCAAGCAGAGAGAAAATCAGTGGGGTTATACGTTAGAATAACACATTGAACCTACTTGACCTGACTGACATTGATAGACTACCTCATCCAATAATAACAGAATATACTTTATTCAGTGCACATGGAATATTTACCAAAGTAGGTAATATTTAGGGTCACAAAACAAGTCTTAAGCAGATTAAAATAATATATAAAGTGTGCTTTTTGAGCATAATGGGAAAAGGACTGCAAATTAGATTCAAAGAAGAATAAATGAAATAAAAATAAAATCATAAATAAATGAAATAACAAAAAACTAATAGAGAAAATAAATAAAACCTAAAATTATTTGAGCATTATTGTTGATAATCATATAATAATATGATAATCCTTAGACCACACTGATTAGGAAGAAAAAGGTAAAAATAAAAAATTAGACACAGCACTATATATTTTACAAATATTAAAATGAAAATAATGCTACAAATTTTTCAAATATTAAAATGAAAATAATGCCAATAAATTTACACTTTAAATTGAAACAATCCTCAAAAGACACAAATTATAAAGAAAAAATAGAAAATTACAGAACAATATGTCTCACAAACATAGGAATAAAAACTTTGACCAAAATTTGACAACTGAACCCAAAAAAGCATAAAATACATCATCCAAATGGAGTTTATTCCAGGAATTTAGAGCTCACTTAACATTCTAAAATCAATCCGGGTAATTCATGATATTAATCAACCTAAAAATAAGGATCATACAATTATTTCAATAGATTCAGAGAAACACAAAAATTATTCCTGATATAAACTCCCAGCAAACTAAAAGTAGAATGCCTTAAAAAACCTAATAAAGGACATTTATGAAAAAACTTGCAGTTAACTTCATAACTCATAGTAAAATTCTTTTTTCTGTAAAATATTAAATAATAAATGTTAGGCTTTGCATGCCATTTTCAATATTTATTATACATTAATTTTTCTTTGGTTGTTTTTAGTTACCCCTTATATATGTTTTTAAAAATCCCTGTTTACAGACTGCACAAAAACAGACTATGTGGTCTACGTGTCATACTATATGACCACTGGCTTATAAGTCTATATAGAAAACTCAGTAAAAGCTACCAAAATGCTAGAGTTGGTCAGTGTGGTAATTTGTCAAGATAGAAAATCAATATACAAAAGTCTATTGCAGGGGCTGGGGATTTAGCTCAGCGGCAAAAACGCCTGCCTGGCAAGTGCAAGGTCATGAGTTTGCTTCCCGGTACCAGAGAAAAACCAAAAAAAAAAAAAAAGTCTATTGCATTTCCACAAAACAGAAAGGAATAATCAGAAATTGAATTAACATAACAATACCACTTTTAATAGAATCAGAAATAATAAATTACCCAGGGCTAAACCTAGCAAAATAGCTGATAGACCTTTACACTGAAAACAATAAGAGAAAAATTAGCAAAGATAGAAATACAGAAATATATGCTATTTAGGAATTAGAAGACTCAGCACTTAGTATGTCAGTTTTTTACTAAATTAATCTATGGATTTCAATACAATCTCAATAAAAACCTCAGCATTTTTTTATTGTAGAAATTAACAAGCTGATCACCAAATGCATACGGAAAAGCTAATGACTTAGAATTGCAAAAAATTAGTTTTAGAAAGAATAAACTTGAAGGGATAGTATCACTGTTTTCAATAATTATTTAAACTACAGAATAATCACAACATTATGATGTTGGCATAAAGTTACACAAGATCACGTTACAGAATAAAGTCTAGAAATGAATCTACACATGGTTAAGCACATATGTTCAATTGATATTTTATAAATGCACAAAGGAAATGCAGGAGAAAAGGAATAGATTTTCAACAGATGATGTTGAAACAGTTATCTATATGGGAAAAGAAGTAACTTGAAACTATGTAAGATACAAAAAGTATTTCAAAATAGATTGTAAACCTAAATGAAATATCTAAAGCAATAAAGCTTTTAAACGAAAACTTTTGCGACCTTCAGGTAGCCAAAGGTGTTTCTAATTACCGTATCAAAAAGCATGATTCATAAAAGAATAAATTTAAAAATTGGATGTCATTAAACTTAAAAACACGGCTATCTAGAGACATTTAAAAGAATGTAAAAACAAGCAACAGACTGAAAGAAAGTCTGCAAAACATATCAGTAATGGACACACTGAGAATATAGGAAAAAATGATAATTCAATATTCTAAAAAATGTAAAACTCACTTTTGAGAAATAAGCACTTGAAAAAATGCTTGACATTATTAGCCATTAGGGAAAAGCAAATAAAACCATAATGTAAACCACTGTACAACTATTGAAATGGCTAGAAACCGACCACTGCATGGGTAAAGAGTATGTAAATGACCTGGAATTCTCAGTCATTGTTAAGTAGGTGTTCATTTAAGGACTTATGCATGAAGGGTCCAAATATTCATATCCACTTTATTAGAAGTAAGCAAAAACTTGAACAACCTAAATGTCCACAAATAGTTGAATGGATAAGTTGTGCCATATTCTTCAGTGAAATACCACTCATGTTATTATGATTGTCTTTGCCTATTTGAGGTAAGTAACACTTTTGTATGTCTTTCACAAATGAGAAACAGAAGAGGTTTGTCAAAATGCATTGGCTTATATAATTTAAAAGTTAGCATAATAACTATCAAATCTAGATAGGTGGCCACGGTACTATTGGAACTAGAGAAGCTGACTATAGTATTGTACTTTTAAACTAAACTACAGAACATTATTTCATTTGCAATTTAAATTTCACTTATTCCATTTACAATAGAAATAATTATAGCATCTATGGTAAAAATTTTGTGGCTGTCATATTCTATGGCACTGGATTCATACACAATTTGTGTTCATGTGTTTAGGGACATCCTACAAAGAACAGTTCCAGTAGTTTATTTTCAGAAACAAAAATAAATGAATATAAAATTTGGACAAAAGTTGTTGCTATCTTTCCTCTTCAATATTCATGAATGAGTGATAAAACAATTTGCATAAATTACACACAAATTAGAGAATTAATAGTCATTTGGCTACATGTGTTTCTTCTTTCCACAGAGGAAATATTAAAAATGAGCTCCCTTACACAGAAGGATCACCCTGTTCTATGTGCTCAAAAGAAGAGAGATGTGTAAACAAGCTCTGCCGTAAGCAAAATAGAAAATAATTCATAACATTCTATTTGGACAGTAACATTATCATAAACTCATTAATTTTTAAATATAGCCCTCCAACTTATAATGTATGGGTAAGATTTGATTGCTTCTGACAGTATGAATCATTTATCGTAAATTATCATACTTTAGTTCAGATGATCCTTCCCACATTCATTATTTTCCCTCTGAAGCTAAAGGACAGAAAGAAATAAGACACAACCATAATCCAGGTTGCCACTGCATTCAAGATAACTACTGGTTGAAAAGTTTATTTTATATTTCCTTCCATTCATTTCCTTTTATTAGTATTAGAATAGTGACTCATCTAGTAGTAAACAATAATCATTTCCAAATTACCATATTTCTCTTCCAACATCAGCTTTTTGTTGCTCAACCCAAATATTCTTTCTTAGGATGAAATATTCTTGGTGGAAAAAGATGTATGTGTGTATAACCATGAAAGGAAAGAAACAGAAAAATAGTGTATATTAAATTATTTCATTTATATGAAGTTCAAAATCAGGTAAAGTTATTCTGTGCTTTTAGTTGATATAGTGGGTTCCTGTAGAGGAATTAGTGATTGAAAGAACACAGTAAAAGGACTTTCTGGACCTGTGCTGCAGTTACTTTGTGTGTGCTCTTTGCAATAATTTATCAGTCTTTCCACTTACAGGATATAAATTTCAAGAGATGTGTTAGAAGTTCCTTTCAACTTCACATTCAATTAAAACCATTTTTCAAAACAAATTCATTGTTTCCCTCCTATTTACAAGCTGATGTTTTCTAGTCAAAGAGATATACAGATAACAATACATTCACTATTTTACTTCCCCTTCCCATGGCTTCCAAGCCAGTAAACTTTTTGCCTGAACTACTACTGTCTCCCTCCCACTTCTCTTATTTCACTTCAAACTGCTTTTTACATAGAAATTTAAATGAATTCAAATGATTCTTTTTCTTTAATTCCTTAATACCTTTTTATTACAATAAAAGAAAAATCTGATTCTGTATCACGTGGCTAACAAGACCAAGCACAATCTAGCTCAGGTCTTGTCTCTCCTACTGTACATTCTATTTTTCTCTCAGAAACAAATACTAAGCTCCAGGATCATTACCCTCATATCCAGATCACTGAAGGATTGTTTCTTCTTTCAAGGTCTTTTTGTTTTGCTTTCTCTTGGTTTTGGTAGAATGCTCTGGTTTTTGTTGTCGGGTGAACAAGTCTTCACACGTGGAAGTGGAAACAAGTTTCTGTCGTTTTGAATAAGACCCCGATATTATATCAGCTCTGGGCACAGACTGTAATAAGTCTGACACATTTGGCTTTTTTATTGAAAGACTTCAAGTATTTAAAGAAATACAGGTTCTCTTGCTGGAAAGGTGACTTTGAGAAAGGTCTCCAGGAGAAGTCCTTTTGCTGTTTCAACTCCCACAGAGCTCTGTGTAAATGCTGGCATGATGTTGAACCCTGCTGATACCGTACAGCAGAGGAATTATTTAGCACAGTCAAGCAACCCAGATAATTGCGAGAAATAATCATAAATGGTTTTGATTTTAAGCCACTAAGTTTTGGGAAAGTTTGTTTCACAGCAGTAGATCATGGAAACACTTATTATGTTTGGTAAATTTTTATTAAACATTTAATATGTCAGACAAAATGTAAAAGTTTCTACCCTCTCTCCGCTGAGAAGATAAGAGAAGTAAAGGTTGTTTATCTGAATCCAAATAAAATTTAGTTATGGGTGGGTTCAATTTATGAAAGGTTAGTCTACCCCAGCTGTCCCTGCTCCAGCAGTATAGACGCCCAGAGATTTCCAGTGAGATCCTGGTGTGTTCCACTGGTGCCCCTCCCCTGCTGGGTTTGGACCTCTACTCCTTATGGCTTTAGCATTGTGACATGGCTGAAAATTCCTTTGCTTTCCAGAGCCTGTTTGTCTAGGTGTCCAGCCTCGTATCCCTTACACCTTTAATATTAAACCAGTTACCAGAGTACCGGCATGTCCTGTTCATGTTCCCCTCCTCTTCTTCATGCCTGGATCTTGACCCTTCAGTTCTCCAACTGTATCTCTCTAGCCCTGTAACTCTAGGAAAAGCTCTGCCCTTCCATTTCCAAACACAGGGCTCTGCCTGGACACAGCCCAGGTTTTCAGCCTTATACCTAGCCCCAGAATCAAGCGTGTCCCAGGGGGGAAAAGAAGCAGGCTTAATTATACCAACTCCTGTCTCTTTGAATCTCCTGCTCTGAAATCCAACCCCTCTAGTCTGCTGCTCTGAGGCTTTTACACTGAGTTCTGTTGGATTTGGGGAGGATTTTCTAGCTTGCTTGATGGGAGCTTTTGTCCCTGAGATGGAAGCAGCCACTGACGGTGGACAGCACCACAATCTGCATAGGCTATAGGCCTGACTGGAGGTGATTTCCGTTTTCTTCTTTTTTCCAAATTATTCAGGTATTCTTAGGCCTTTGCAAATTAGTTAGGAAAAGCTATCAATTCTACTAAATTGAGTTTGGCTAGCAAAACATCGAATGTTTAGGTAAACTGGGAAGATCTACAGATAAATTTGGTAAGAATTGACATCTTCACAACAGTCACTGTTTCCCCTAATTAATAGCTTATCTAGGATTTCTAAAATGTCCTTAAGTTTTTAAATTTTTTCTTCAGGGGCTGGGGATTTAGCTCAGCAGCAAAAGCGCCTGCCTGGCAAGCGCAAGGTTGTGAGTTTGGTTCCCGGTACCGGAGAAAAACCAAAAATAAATAAATAAATAAATTTTTTCATCAAAGATACTGTACATCAAATTAGAATCCTTAAAGACATGGAATTGTTGCTACTATATTTAAAATTACATTTCCTGATAAATGTGGCTAATTTAAAACATCAGTGTTTTGGCTCAGAAGTCTGCTGCCCAGGAATCTTACCAAACTCTTTGTTAATTTTCAATAGTCTATTGATTCACTTGAACTTTCTGCGATGATCATGTTACCTGTAGGACAAATGCAAATTTTGCTTTTTCTTCTAATCTTTATATCCACTATTTATTTTATTAATAGTAACTGGCAGCTGATTCTCCAGAGCAATGTTGAACATAAACTGTAATAGTGGATATCCTTTTCTTATTACTGACTTTAAAGACAATGTTTCAACATTATGCATATATATATTTTTTGGGGGGGTACCGCGAATCGAACTTACGACCTCTTGCTTGCTGGGCAGGCGCCATGCCGCTGAGCCAAATCTCCAGCCCCATGCATATTTACTTTAGATTGTTTTTCATTTATCTTCAATGCCAGGCTAGAGGAGTAGTCTTTTTTCCAAATTTTGCTACCAGTTTTTAACTTGAATGAATCTTTAAGTACAGCAGTTTTTCTGCATCTATTAAAATGATCCTATACTTTTTCCTTAAGTGTCCTAACGTTGTAAATTTTATCAAGGGAGTGCTAAAGCAATACAGTCATACTGAATAATTTCAAAAGGTACCAGAAGTTAAGTGATGAATCAATAATCCAGTATTACACTGGAAATTCTTTGTGAATCACGCTGAATATAGGAAATTATGAGATTCACTTAGATTGATTTATTTCATTTGTAGATAATGACAGTTATCAGTTCCAGGTTGCTCTATTAGAATAAAAATTATCAGAAAGCATTGACTACTCAGCATGTGAAAATGAAAATGCAATTAGAAACATGAAAGGTCTTAATATCCTGAACATGTATATCAAACACTGAAAGAAGATTAAATTCACTATATATTTTGCAAATCTGAATCTTTAAACTCCTGAGCTTTAATTGCAATTCACTGTAATTTAATTGTTAACACAAACCAAAAATATTTACTTAAATATGAGTATCTGAGGGATGTGATGGTCATATAGTGGATTCTACTTACATCTATTAACTAAGTACAAGTCCTTGATTTTCCGAAACTACAGTTCTACTAGAATATAGTATCACTGAATAAATTTGGAAAAATAAAAATAATCCAGTATTAAAACTTTCTTTCTGCAATAAATCAAATTTGCTCATTCAGTTTCCTTTATAGATATACAACATCTTAAAATTTTTCTATATATAATTTCCTCATTTAATTTTAGAATTATCTTTGACCTATAATTTTCCTTCTTCATTTCCCCTTACATGATTTTGACTTCAAACTTGTAGTAGCTACAAAATAAGTTGGAAATGGAATGCTGTTTCATTTAATATTTTGCTTACAACTGTATAAGAGTCTCATTATCTCATTTTTCAATTTTGAGATTTGTTATACAAGTAATTTGTCCTTATGTGTGCATTATGGTTGTAAATTTTAATTACTGATTTAATGTCTTTAACGATTATGTGCGATTCAGGCTTGGAGAAAACATTAGTAAGTTCTCACATATTTATCTCTCCTCTATCTATGGTTATGTAATATTTAGGTGCTATAACTTTTGATTTGTGCACTTTCTCTTTCTTATTGATCAATCTTTATTAAAAACCAACTTTTATCTTCCTTGACTTCCTTTTTTGAGAGATAGGAGATATGGTATAATGTTAAAATAGATAGATCATGGAGTCAGTGACAACTCAGCTGGTGATTATGAGGATTATAATTATGATAAATCATATAAAATGACTGAGCTCAAAACAAAGTAAGGGCTCCATAACTTTTAGCTAGTATTATAATTAAGTTTCTGATTATTCATTATCAATAGACCCCATTTATATTTTTCATAGTAATTACCACTGTCTGAAATGATCATGCCTTTAGATTTTTCTCCACTTTACTATAAAAGAATTTCATTTATTTATTGACAACAAGTATATCTGAAGCTTAGACTAATCTTCAATATATAGTGGAAAGTGGATGAAGGGGTCGGGGATATAGCTCAGTAGTACAGCGCCTGCCTGGCAAGCACAAGGTCCTGAGTTTGATTCCCAGTACCAAAAAGAAAACATACAAATGAATGGAAAAACAGCAAATTAAAAAAGAATGAGTTCCTTAAGAAAACTAGATATTATTATAATGGTAAAGGCAGAACACAGTTTTGATATGGAAAACATGTAACACAAAATTTGGAGCAAGGACTACTATAAAGATGAAAATGATATTTAAACTCAATATGAAGGAATGACATTCTGTCAGAGGTTTGAATTGGACATGGTGGAGCATCAAAAACACAGTTAACTACTTTGTAACCTTGTCTATTTTAGATTTTTGTGCCTTTAATATAAATATTCTAGAAATATTTGTCAACATGACACTGTTGGCAGGGCACATTATAAAGATCTTGAAGTATTACAGGGTTTGTGTAGAAACTCTAAGTTAAAAAGTCAAACTAATTTTTCTAAACTTATTATCTTTCTACTAAAGCCAGAAAAACAAGTAAATGCTTTTCATTTTGTATTCTTTTATATTTTTAGGATTTCCAAAACCTGTTGTACTAGACAGTACATATCAAAATATTTTAGTATTGATTCAATGATTTCTTCCACCTGAAATTAAATTGAGCTTTTAATTTTTCCATTTTATTGACAGAACATGAAAACATGAAGCCCATGGGGAGAGCACCTCAGCGGACAGTATATAATCTACTCAGCATAGGCTTTGTTCTTCTGAGAACTGTTTAATTGTCATTTATATGTGCAAAAATCCTTAAATTTTATAATAAAGGAATACCTAATGGTTAAATGTAACTCATCAGCAGTTTAATTATCTATTAAGTCTTCCGTACTCTTGCTGTCATCCAAATTTAATGTGTTTTTAAATAAAATATATTGTAATTTGGAAAACAGAAAACAATAAAGTCTTAAGGTTTTTTTAAAAAACTACATTTTCATGTGTCTGTAAAGAGTCTCAATCTCTAATTTTTGAACAGAAATGAATTTTCAATATATTAAATTATCATGCTTTAATGAATGGATTAAGTCAACAAATTAAACTCCAAAAGTAAAATTAATTAAACACTTATGATTTCAACGGTAAATTTATGTGCTGAAAATTATAATTAATTCTTTTAGGAGATTGTATTTTAAAATATTTCTGTATATATAACAGTGCAAATAATGTACCTTTTTAAAGCTATACAAAATTATCTATCACATAGGTTACAACATTCCTACCGACTGGAAGTACTCAATTCTGGCATTTCTTTTGTCTAAGGACAAAAATCAAAAGCATCATTCAATGAATTCAGTTTTAAATGTCATAAACACTGAATTATTGATTCTTGTAGACCATTTTTTTATCTAAGGCAACTCAGCTTCCACCCTCTGTATATATTTAAAATCACTATTAAATGTATTTCTAACAAGACAGAGAATTATTTTGTGTATGTTGCCAAATATTTAGGAATTTGCACATAGCTGGGAGATTCTTGCTGTTTTTCACAGTGAAGCTTAGTGGGAAGCATACTAAAACTAAGACTTGCTGGGTGGGGTGGTGCACACCTGTAATTGCAGAACTTGGGAGGCTGAAGCAAGTGGATCACCATGAGTTCTAGGCCAGCCTCGACTACACAGTGAGACACTGTCTCAAAAAACCAAAAGCAAAACCAAAACAACAAAACTAAGATATGAACAAAGCAGGAAGTTGGTGACCTTAAACTTAAACCTAAAGTTACATATGTGCACTTAATTATACCGTATATATATATATTTTCATTTCATTTATCATTGAAGATACATATGATAAAAACAAAAAATTAAACAGGATGAAAGATACAGGAATTAGAAAATAAGTGCTAAGAATATATTTATGCCAGGAAGATAATAAAAAAAACACTTCCGACCCTTACATATTATTTGCGGGCACTTATAATTAATTTGAAATTCTCTTTCAGCTGTTTTGCCAGTATGCATCATCATTCTGAATTGATTGGTTTAGCTAAAACTAGGTAACATAATCTATAATAAGTTTACCTGGGCTCACAAACGGCACAAGGGAAAGAAGTAAATTATATAATTGTCACTCTCAGTGGAGCTATCATTGTGGGTTACCTCAGGAAACCCACATACCACACAGGTCCATGTCCTCTAGTCAAAACCAACAGATACTCACCCTGGGCCTACCTTGCGACCAGGGACACCACACTGATTATTATAAGAACAGTTTAATAAATAGTTTTTAAAAATGCACAACATATCCAGCAACACACTAAGTATTAAAAATTAGTTTTACTCCTTGTCAATATAAGTGAAAATGATATAGCATTTTAATTTAATGATAGTAATGACTAACATTGAGCAGTGTTTATAATACACCAAGCACAGTTTTACATATAGTAACTAATATAATTCTTTGGATAATTCTGTGAGGTAAATACTGATTTTTTTTTTGTTTCAAGTACTCACAATTCTGAACATATTTTCATAAGCTGCATTATCATTTATAAATACACTGTGTGAGAGTTATTTTGTTGTTTTGTTTTGTTTTGTTTTGTTTTGGCCCAGGCTGGCCTTGAACTCACAGTGATCTTCCTACCTCAGCCTCCCAAGTGCTGAGATTACAGGCATGCACCACCATGTCCAGCCTTGAGAGTTATTAAAATAGGTTAGAAATGCTGTCTTTTGGTGAGATTATAAGGAATTGTTCAGACATATAGCCACATCAACTACTGACCTCAAGAACACGTGTATATTTAGCAGTAAAAAAATTATATAAATAAATAATGTTATGGCTTGGTTTCTAGGATAGAGACAAACTGTATTTGAAATGCTCAAAAAAATGTATTATGGAATCTGGTTATATACAGTCCATCATTAGTATGTGAAAATAGAAGCAGCACAGATATTTCTACCATACTGTTTTTGGCCTTTTGAGGGTTCTTTCTTTTTTCTTTTTTCTTTTTCTTTGGAAATGGCCTATTCATCATTATTTTTCTAATGTTACTGGTGGTACTCATTTTCTTAGAAATTTTTAATGATTCCTAGCACATCAGGGATTTTAATCCTGTGACATTTATCTAACAAATATCTTTCTCAGTTGTTTTCCTCTTACATTTTAATCTATTTTCAATGTTGGCTTTTATATGTAGTATCACTAATTTTCTCTTATAATGTTTCTCATGTGCCATTATTAAAACATCCATATTTACACTACAAAAAAGATCAACTAAGTCAGGTCTTATGGAAAAGAATAAGAAAGAGTCAAGAAAGGAAAAACAAAGTATTTTCCCAATAGCATCTATATACAGAACAAAATAATCATTTCATTGTCTGTAGCTTTGTTATAGTCATTATAACTAAATATGCACAAAAATAAAACTTTAAACCTGCTACCTTTCATCAAAACTAGTTAATTTTCTTACAATGTCAAGTACAATGTACAGAAACAATACTTGAGGGATTTTTAAAAGTACAAAATCATGTGACATAAGAAGCTTAATTCCTTTGTTTCTAAAGCACCTCTATTTTTTAAAAGGAAGTAGTATCTGTTAACCATGATAACATAAAAATGGGTATCACAAATTCCGCAGCAGTTGGATTTAAGTAAAGTAACTGAAAAATATAATTTTCCATATTGCTTGTAAAGAAATACATAGTTTTATCAAAATTCTCTAGCATTTCCAGTATCTTCAAGAAGCTTAATGCACTAAATTATTGCATCACTTTCAAAATTAAGAAAGTTAAAAATTTTGGAGGGCTAGCTAAATAATTTAGTTACTTGCTCATTGCTGAGACAGAATTTAAAGAAAGAAAGGTTCATTTTGTCTGAGGGGTAGTAGAAATTATGATCCATAAGCTGGTTCCAAGACAGCATGGCAAAGGGGCATAGCAGAGGAGAAACAACTCATGACACGGTGGCAGGAAGCAGAGAGAGATCAGGGGAGGAGTGGGGGAGATAGACCCTTGCAGGCCACACCCCCTGCTTTGCCTCCCAGTGTGTCATCTACTTATAACCTCACCAGTGGACTAATCCACTGGTCAGTATCATGCCTTCATGAATCAGTCACCTCCCAAAAGCATCACCTATGGGCACATAAGGCTTTAGAGGGACACCTAGATATAAACCATAACAAGTCCCAAATTTTAATATTCAAAAAGTCACAAGCAGCAGAAACTTCTGAAAAGTGTAACACATCTTTTGATACTAAGGTTAAAAATTATATTTAATAAATATTATGTAATACAATAGTTAAAATACTCATTTATGATATGCCTCTTTAAATGTTTTTGAAACAATATCTTTGAGGGTACAATGCAATTAAAATTTTTTTGTATGAAGTACATGATATGGGAGAATTCATTAATAGATCTTAAAGGTTGAATATTTGCAGAACCTTTTCAGCAAACCCAATTCTATCTGCAATAAATCACCTGGACAGCTTTGTGTGCTCTCACCTTTCTACTTCCATGTTAGTTACCTGAGTTTGAAAACTGGGTCTAGATACTATTCAAAAGAAATCAGAGTAGTTATATTCATTTCTGGCACAGACATTTCAGAACAAGAAAGGTTATTAGAGATAAACAAGGCATTATGTCATGATAAAAGAGTTAATTCTTCAAGAAGTATATGACTAGTAGGATATCAAAAGTATGTGAGGCAAAAATGGAAGATAGAGATGAAGAAACAGAGATATTTACTATTCTACTTGGGAATTTCACCACATCTTCATTAGATATATACAGATCCAGCAAGCAGAAAATCAATAAGGACAGAAGAGAACTTAACAGCACCGTGAGTAAACTGCAAATGATTGTCATCTACAGACTACCTCAGCCTGCATTGACAGAATCCTTATATTTCTCAAGCTCACTTGGAATATTTATCAGTACAGTCCACATTCTGGAGTAAAAAAAAAATATCTTAAGACAGTAGAAATCATATAATGTTTGGTTTTGGACAATGAAAAATTAAACTGCAAATCAATAACAGAAAGATACCTGGAAAATTCCAATACACATAATAATATGCTTCAGAACAAAATTCTGAGTGAAACTTCAAAATATTTTGAAGTAAATGAAAATATTATTTATAAAAATGTACGAGAGGCAGCAAAATCAGTGTTCAGAGGGAGGATGAATAGATACATTAGAAAAAGTACATTTGCATTGAGCAGATATATCAGAAGACAGATCTTAAATCAAATTTTTCACCCTAAGAAACTAGAAAAGGAAGAGCAAATTAAATCCAAAGTAAGAACATGAAAAATAGTAAAATGAGGACAAAAATCAATAAAATTGAAATAGAAAATAACAAACTCAAAGATGTTTCTTTGAAAAGATCAATAAAGTTGATAAGCTCCTACTCCAGTTAAGGAAAAAGAGAGAGGACATAAAGTACTAATACAAAAGTGAAAAGGGGGATTATCACTACAGATCTCTTTGACATTACAAGGGTATTTGAGGAATCCTATGAGTAGCTTTATGCCCACAAATTTAATAATCCAGATGAAATGGATCAATTCCTTGAAAGACCCAATCAAACTCACACAAAAAGAAATAGACAATGTGAACAGGCATATGCTTATTAAATAAATTGGGTCAATAATTACTAGCCTTTAAAAGCAAAAAGCATGAGATGCAGAATAATTCATTTGTGAATTCTACCAAATATTTATGGAACCTATTATTCCAATTCTCTAGAATTTCTTATTCAAAAGACAAGGAAAAAATACTTCCTAACTCATTCTGTAAGGTCACCAGTACCACAATACCAAAGCACACTGCTTGGTAATATGCATTAAAAGAATAAATGCATGCATAAGTCTATCTTTTATAGGTATATTGCTTCTCAATTATGTTGAACAGAAGATTATTTTAAAAGTACTTTTCTCATTATGTATTTTTATCTATTTACAATGCTCTCTTTGTGGCAAAATTCTGTCCTAATGTCAATGCCTCTGGCTATCTCCTTAACATGTAAAATATAAATGTGTACCCTAAAACAAATAGACACAATTCTTTCATGCCTAGAATTTAAACTCTTCAAAGCAAGATTTTATTGACAAAAAATGTTTGCCTGGAGAGACTAGGTCAAAATTTGGTAGGTTACTAGCCATTTTTGTGTGAAAGAATGAACATTAAAACAAAAACTGAGTTCTTGCTTACTGTAAATGTGACAGTTTGTCAGTGAGGAACATGAATATTAACCTTTCCAAAGCAATCTTTCTAAATAGTGCTGATAAGAAAAAATAGAAATATTCTAACTTTATGATCTTTGGATGATTTACTCTAAATCTTGAGTTTTCTACTCTTGCATTTGTTTCTTGGTTTTCTACAAAGTTTTATTTAAAAATTAAAACAGACAACAACAAAAGCTAAGAGAAACATCTCAAAGAAGTCTGCCTTAAAGATCTTATTCTTTTTTGTTTTGGCCTTTTTTTTGAGACAAGGTCTCCCTCTGCAGTTCAGGCTGGACTTGAGCTCACTCTGTAGCCCAGGCTGGCCTCGAACTCGCAATGATCCTCCTGCCTCAACCTCTGGAGTGCTGGGATTACAGGAGTGCGCCACCACGCCCGGTTTAAAGACGTTTATTCTACCCGTGATGAACAAATGAATAAATGGTGAGTCATGCAGCAAATTTCCAACTCAATGGATAAGAATGGGAAAAAAAAGTTAATTGAATTTTTATCAGCAACACAGGAAGAATGACCGTTTTTCCCTTGCATAAGTAGAAGATTCCTCAAACATGTTAATTATTCAGCAACTAGTATTTACCATGCAAACCTAGAGCTGGTTAACAGATGAAGATACAACATTCTGTGTCAGAAATCAGTTCTAGATAACATACTTCGAGAGACTAGAAGGGTAAAAAGCTTGTATCGCACTCATTTACCTCCAGTCTCCCTTTTAGTTAGTAGTGAGGCATTTACCAGGAGTTTGCTCCCCTCGGAAGTTGTGCCATCTCCCTTCACTTCCTCTTCCGCTTTCTGCTACCCAGGGTTCCCAGCACCGCCCCGTAGATCAGCAGGGCAGAGGGGCGGGCTGGCGCATGCGCAGGGGCCTGTCCGGCTCTGGGGGACCATGAAAGCCGTAAGGCCCATCGACCTGGAGTGGTGCTCCCAGTTGCTCCCCTTGGCCCTAGGGAGATTTTGGAAGCTGTGGCTTTGTGAGTTGTGGATACTACTGTTGGGTTCCAGTTTGAACGCCAATTTTTTGCCCCACGAGGAAGACGTAGACTTTATCAATGAGTATGTGGACCTCCATAATAAGCTCCGCGGCAAAGTCACCCCTGGAGGGGCGAACCTGCGCTTCATGGTGAGGCCGGAAGGCGGTTTCCCGAGCCGCCACCTCCCTTGTCACGGGGCTTCCTTCTGAGTAGGAAAATTTAAGCCCTCTCCTCTGAGTCCTAAGAATCTCGGAAACTCCACTTGTAGTTTAGGATCTAAAATATTGTACACGTAAGTGCGCTGCCCCTCGAATACATGGATACCACATGATTTGGTGTAGGACGCAGCCTAAGGCAAGCAGAGGCCCTCACCTGAGGTGCAGACGTTAAGGGGCCACCAGTTCAAGGTACTTTAAAGCAACGAGCTTTTTTTTTCCCTAATTACAGATCCATGCAGAAATATCAGTAGTGAACATTTCAAAAATTTTAAATGAGATAGCATCCTTGGTATGAATTTGAATCAAGTGAGGCCCGTTCAGGATGTGGCAAGTGCAAGTTCAGTTCATGCTTTTATTTGAAATTTTGAATTTTTCCCATTGTGGACATTTTCACATGAATTCTGACCTTTAAAATACTATTTATTTTGATTATTGAATTTTTTGGCACCCATTTCGTATTTTCCTCCCGCGGTAGTCTTAGTCTCCTTACTCTAGACTAGACCCTGATTTTGCATTCCCTCACAATGTTCTTACTGTCCTGCACCCTGTTTTATCCTATTTCCGTTTAACATCTCATGGACTAGTAATCCCTTGTTGCTACGGAGATTTTATGATAGTCATTAAAAATGGCTACAAAATTCAGCAAGAAAATAACCATTCTTCTAGAAGGCATTTAGTAGCTTCTCATCTGCATTAAAATTATATTGTAAAGATGACCTTCCTACACATGTCCTCTTATCTCCTTCAGGATTGTTCCTTACCAACAATTTCAGATGTGAGATAAATAAATTGAGGGTTTTTTTTTAATTGTAAATGCTATTTTTATTGGACATATTTTAGTTCTTGTTCATTTTTTTACCTTTTGTATTATCACCATTTCCTCTTTTAAGGAATATAAGGTACTTTTCCACGATATAAGGAAAAGTACAGCTTTTCCTTATATGTACCGCCGTACTTTGATACTTTACTGCTTTGAGATTCATTGAGCTTGATACTTGGCGGGAGTTCATAGTTTATTTGGTACTGAATGCACAAACTAGGACTTGTCCATGTGAATTGCCTGTAATTAAACAAAGTGTTTATACTCCACGGTTTTGGTATTGTTGCACTTCCTGAAACCAATTAATAATTAACCACGATACCACAGCGGTAGTGTTTGCTGAGCAAGATTTTTTCCAAGCCAGATTTTCATCTTTTGAATTCAACCATAGAATTTAGAGATATTGAGACATTTTAGCAATTTCTCACCTTTTCTGTTTTCTTCCAAATTTGTAATATTCTTCCTCCTGAAAATTAATAAACACAGAATATTTCCTTTATAGATTTTATATTTATAATCTCTAAAAATTACACCATATTTAAAATATAAAGTATAAAATATACTTGTGAACCCACATTCTATAATTTAAAATATGAACACATTTAAAGTAATGGTATTTTTGGTATAGTTTTAAAACTCTACATAAATTTTTCCCTGTTTCTTCTTTCTAAAAGTGCTTGTGTATTTTTACCAAATATTTTCTAGGAAATAAATAATATATGTAAATACCACAACATTATGTTCTATTTAGAACTTCTCCAAATACAGCATACATGTTTGGAAATCACATTTTTTTTTATTCTACTAGTTAGTCTTGAATTTGTTATATACATGCTTCACAATGAAAATTCAAAAATTAATCAGTACCAATAATTTCCTTCCTAATATTAAAAAGACCTCAAAACACTTAAATTTTGAGTACCTCCTTGTTATGTCCATGCTATTAATGTGTAGTGTTTTTGTTGTACATTGTTTTAAAATACCAAAAAAGTATTGCTTTCAAAAATTAGTGGTAAAAAACACATACTGTGATATTTACCAGTTTAACAATTTTTTTATACATGTTTTATTTGTTTTGCTAATACCGTCAGGACTGAAGCTACTGTCATTTCCCTAAAACAGGGAAATCCATCTAAAAGATAGCTTTTCAAAAGATAGCAATGTAAAAGTGGTAGGACCAGGCATTTGATATCTTTTTTTCTTTTAAGAACTTGCAAGCTGCAGGAAAACATGTGACCAAGAGTGTTATGATTATCCATTAGAGACTTTCATCAATATCTGTACCAATTTAAGTAACAATATAGCAAGACCCAAAGATTAGGGGTGACAATGTACATAAGGACTAATACATTGTACCAATCCTTAAAAAAGTCATTGTGTCAAAGAAACTGTTAAGTGTTCTCAAGTTATCAAAATAATTCACATTAAGTACAGAAGTGGCCCATCCAGATTACTTCCCATTATGCTGTATACTTTTCAAAAAGTGCCAATCAAAGCCTAAGTTGAATTTTGACTTTTGTCTTACACAATTATCAGCTGTTAAAAAACAATTTACATGTGTTTTTAATCACAGTCACTTGGCCAGATGAGCAGTGCTGTCAAAGCTGGTGCTAGCTTTCCATGTGTGATTAGGACCCATGCATAATTTGGTACACCTCTAAACAGTTAGTGCTCAAGTTTAACTGGAAAAGCTGTGAAATGCAGCTGTTTTGCCAAATCACACTCCACTCCTTCCACCTTTCTCTCAAGGAAAATATTTGTCAATTGCCATTGAAAAACTCTAGGACTGATTTGTAGATTTTATCCAGTGTCCAAAAGTCAGACTTACTTTTGTTCAAGCCACTTCAAACAACTATGGAGATATTATCACCCCATAAAGTACATTGTGTTTTACTCCTAAGCAAGAGTGAGTAATCTGCATATCATGTGCAAGGTTCAAGATGATGCTTAGGACAGAAACATTGAGAGTACAAAGAGTTTCCTTCCAGATCTAGGTAATATAAAGCTAACAATTTTAGTCCAGTCTTTGTGGGATGAAAACAATCCTTTTACAACAAATTTCCTGAAAGGGAGAACAAATAGATATTAACTCTGCTGGTAACATGTTATGGTACACTGGCCAGTGTGTTTTTGGCGATTAAACATGATCCTATGAATCAGGTTACTTCACTTGCTGAGTGTTCATTTTCAGCATTCCTCTGTTGGATCTTGGGGGCCCTCCATGACCTCGAGGGGCTCCCCATGGTGCACAACCCCCAGAGCCTCACTTGAAACTCTGCTGATATCCATCCTACTGATAGCCAGAGCAGTCCCAGGGAGCACTGAACTGAGACTATGTGTAACCATTGTTTGGAGAATTAGAGAATGAAGGTTGGTAACCAGCATATCCTCCTCTGAATCCACTGGAGGGGCCCCGTATCCATTCATCAGTCCTCTAGTGCCACAGGAACAATGTGTAGTTCAGTGGCATTAATTACATTCATATTGTTGTGCAACCGTCACTACCATCCATCTCCTGTTTTTCATGTTCTTTAACTGTAACTACACATCTGTCAAGCAATTAGTCTTCATTTTCCTCCCTGCCTTATTTCCTGAATTCTACCATCCTATTTTCCATTTCTATAAGTCTGCCTACCTAAGTTATCTCATATACTTATAAGTGGAATCATACAGTATTTGTCTTTGTGACAGGTTTATTTCACTCAGCATAATATCTTCTGAGTTCATCTATGTTATGGCAAGTGTTTGAATTTCCTTCCTCTTTAAGACCAAATCATATTCTACTGAATGTTTATAGTAATTTTATTTACCCATTCATCAGACACTTGGTTTGTTTTCCCCTTTTGGCTATTATGTTTAATGATGCAGTGAGCATGTGTGTTCACATATACTTTCAGGTCCTGCTTCTCCCTTTGGCTAATAAATCCAAACTGGAATTTCTGGGTCATATGATAATTTTATGTTTTACTTTGTATAAAAGCCTTCATTCTTTTATGCTGGCTGTCCCATTTTCCCATCAGGAATGCACAATGATTTTAATCTCTCCACATTCTCACCAGCACCTGTTATTATCTGTTTTTTTTGGAACATAGTGATTTAGTTGATGTGACTGTTATGCCAGATTGTAAATGTGATTAACTGAGGGCCACATAAAGGATTAGTAAATTACACTTCTGAGTGTATCTGGGTGAGTCATGAAAGTGTGACCTTACATACAGTTTCTTGCCCCGGTCCATTTCTCTGCAACTATTCCCCTGCTCTGCTTCCCAGCCTACATGAAATGAGAAGCTTTACTCCATCACACTCTTCTACTATGATGTTTCTGCCTTGGAGCCAGCAGACCCTTAGACTGAACTCTTGAAACCATGAGCCAAAATAAACCTCTCTTTTTTTAAGTTGTGTTTCATATTTTGTCCCAGCAACAGGAAAGCTGATACAGTACAGAAAATTAATATCACAATGAGTACCTTGTTGTAATGGTACCTGACCATATAGTTCATAGAAGGCTTTGGAAGCAGTTTGTGGGAGGAATTTGCAAAGATTTGGAGATACAGGGTGTAGAAGCTTTCATCTACTCTAAGCAGAGCTTGATGAGTAGTTATGGTTAAAGCTCAAAGACCAGAACCCTAATAGGAAAAGCAGACAGTGAAGGCCAGACTCATGAGGTTTCAGTTGGGAACATGGATTTAGGGTGGTTGGACAAGAGGCTGTGCATGTTTTATCTTGAAAAAGAATTTTTCTGTTTGCCCATGCCCTTAAACTTTGTGTATAGCTGGTCTTGAGGGCAATAGACTAATTGATATGGAGGAGGAAATTTCAAATCGACCCAATATTCAGGCTGTAGTATGAGTACTGCTGGCTGCTTTTAGTCATTGAAAATCAAGAGCAAAGAGCAGAAAATCAAGATTTGAATCACTTAAATTTTGGCACCAGTAAAACCACATATAAAGTTCGGTCCAAAGGAGATATAGCTGCCAAGTAGATTAGCACAATTTAAAAGAAGCCAAGTGCTCTGAACTGAGACAATAAGAAACCAAAATGCTTTGAAAAGATCTCAGGTATCAATCAGCAAGACACTGCCTGTTGTAAGTTCAAGGATATAAAATGTAAA